TGGATATGTCCTAATTTCACAATCATATTTGAATGAGAGTTTTGCAGGATATATTATTCTTGGCTGGCAATTTTTATCTTTCAAGGTTTTATATATGTCATCCCATCGCCTTCTTGCCTCCATGGTTTCTGCCAAATAATCTGAGCTTAGTCTTATTGTTTCTCCTCTGTATGTGACTTCTTGTTTTTCATGAGCTGCTCTGAGAATTCTTTGTTTGTCTTTGGTTTTGGCGAGTGTAATTATGATATGCCTTGGTGATTTTCTTTTGGGGTCTATCCTATATGGGGTTCATTGAGCTTCTTGGATGGTCAACCTTTCATCTTTCGTGATATTGGGGAAGTTTTCTGTCAGCATTTCTTCAGTGATCCTCTCTGTGTTTTCTGTTTTCTCCCCGTTCTGGAACTCCATTCACTTGAAAATTTTTGCTTTTGATTGTATCCCACATAACTCTCGGGGTCTCTTCATTTTTCTTTGTTCTTTTTCCTGAGTTTTCATCAAACTGAGTTGTATCCAAGTGTTTGTCTTCAATTCCACCTATCCTGTCTTCCACCATTTCAAATCTGCTCCTCTGACCTTCTATAACACTGTCCATTTCTGAAATCTTGTTGTTTACCTTTTGAATTTCTAATTGTTGTTTTTGTATAATTTCTAGTTGTGAATTTATCTTGGCATTTTGTTCCTGCATTATTTTCCTGAATTCTTCGATTTTTTGTCTATATTTTCCATGAATTAGTCTTTTTTCCTCATTTTTGTCTGCTTTTTTCTTCAACTCTTGGAGAATTCTGAGTAGTAGAGATTTGAATTCCCTATCAGGTAGTTCTAGTGCCTTTTCTTCCACTGGGAAGTCATCTTGTGTTTTCTTTTGGACACCTACTGGAACCATCCTGTTCTGTTTTTCTAAATGTTTTGATATTATCTGCTGTCTTCGGGGCATTCAGTAGTTATTTTTCTTGTTTTTTGATTGTAGATTTATTTGTTTCATCCTTTGTTTTTATTTGGCTATGTCTGAGCCGGCGGGCTGTGTGTTCTTTGTTGTTTGCTCTTCTGTGGGTACGATAATTTTTGCCTCCTTCTCCAATTGTCAGGGTTAGTGGCTCAGATACGGTACAGCAGGGCAGGTCTAGATGAAGAAGAGTTTCTGGGACAGGTTGTTTGTGGCACTTACTACAGCCATCAAGGTGGGTCAGTAATCAGTGCAGGGCAGGTTCCAGTAGGCCATGCCTGTGCTGCTTGGTGGTGTGATGTTAAGCACACACTGCAGGTAGGCAGGATGGAGGGGGGAGATTGTTGTGTGGAGCTACGATGGATATGGGAGAGAGGAGGAGGAACAGGAGCCAAACATACAAACCAACAAAAAAGAGTTCTAGGGGACCTTGCTGTTGGAGTGGAGAGATGAGAGACTATGAAATGGAGAAAAACAAAACGGGGAAGAAGAAGAAAAAAAGGAATGAATAAATAAAAATCAGAGAGGAAAAAGAACAGCAAAGCTCCCAGGGATCCCACTGGTGTAACTATGGGGTCTTGGAAAGTTATTCTCAGGTGTTGCAGTACAGCTGGCTAGAAGGTGTAGAGGTATGCAGCGCCAGGTATTCAGGGAACGGAAAGAGAAGGAAGGTATAGAGAGATGAGAAACTGAGTAATGAAGAAAGACAAAAAGAGAAAAAGAGGGAAAAGAAAACAAAACAAATATTAAAAAAAAAAAGAAAAGCCCCCTAAAAAACAGAACAAAAACAAAAAAACCAAGGAAAAAGAAATGCCCTCAGGGATCCCTCTGGGCGTCTGTGCAAGCCGAGTGGGTAGGCTCCAAGCTGCACAGCACCACCCAGCCAGAACAGGCTCCCAACTCAAGAAAAGGAAAAGAAAACACACAAACAATTCAAAACAAACAAGCAAACAAAAGCCCCGGGATCCCACCAGTGCGGCAGCCCAGACCGGGAAGGAGCTCCCCACATGAACAGAGCTCCGCAACCCCTCAGGAAGAAGCAAAGATGGCGCACGGAGCCAGCTATTTGATAGAAAGGAGGGGGAGGTGGTGAGAGGTAAGGAAGAAATCAAAAGAAGTGGAAAAAAAGCAACACCAGCAGCCAACAAATGATACTCAGAGAGCTGGCCTGTGTGGGCAGGTGGAATCCAAGCAGCCCGTGCTTCCCGGAGAAGAGACTGTGGCTGCGGGAAGCAGAGGAGGCAGAATTGGGGTGAAGAAGGTTGAGGGGTGGGGAAGCGTATATCGCAAATTACTGTAGCTCTGCAGCCACTCAGGAAGAAGCAAAGATGATGCACGGAGCCAGGTATTTGAGAGAAAGGAGGGGGCGGTGGTGAGAGGTAAGGAAGAAATCTAAAGAAACGGACAAAAGCAACACTAGCAGCCAACAAATGGCACTCAGGGAGCTGGCCAGTGCAGGCAGTGGAATCCAAGTTGCACTGGGGGAAGCTGGTGCTTCCTGGCCAATAGACTGTGGCTGCAGGAAGCAGAGAAGGCTAAGTCAAGGTGAAGAAGGATGGGGGTTGGAAAGCCTATATTGTGAGTTACTGGTGGCTCTGTCTCCTGCTGGAAGCTTCGTGAAGCTGCTTTTTCGTACCTCCTCTTTGCTGATCTCAGATAGGAGTCCAAGATGGCAGATCCGTGCTGCTTGAGCTGATAGGGGACCTCTGTATGTCTCTCTCCTCACGCTTTGTTCTCAGTCAGTTTCTTATTCCATTCGGTGCTTGGCTGAGTTCTTTATCTCTTCATTTGATGCTTAGGGTTTCAGGATTGACGTGTGAATCTGTTTGACTTAGTTTTTCTGATCTTTGCTGTGGAGGGATGGCATGGTGCTTCTGACTATAATGCCATGTTTCCCGGAAGTCCGGCAATGCTCCTTTCAAGGTGAGGTCACAAAGACATTGCAACTTCTACCCTGTTCTCTTGGATCGCATGTTCTGGGGAAACCAGCCACCATGTTGTAAGGACAGGCAAGCAGTCCTCGTGACAGGGAAAAGGAGCTTCGTGTTGATAACTGCACTTACTTGCCAGCCATGTGAGGAAGTCATCTTGAAAGTAATCCTCCAATTCCAGTAATGACTTCAGATGAATGCAACCATGGTTGATATCTTAACTGCCATCACATAGGAGATCTAGGTCAAAATCACCTAAGCCACGAAGTTGTTTTAACCACTAAGTTTTGAGGTAGGTTGTTATACAGCAATAGATATCTAATTCAAGGTTGTAGCATAGGGCTTGGCACAGAGAAAAGTTCACTTTAAGTGATGTAGAATGAATGGAAAAAAATTAATTTGAAATTGTAACCAGATGAGGATGGGTCCTGGCAGAGAACCCCACTCAGAGACATCATGTGATAGTTTCACTTGACCAAAGCAACCTATGCGCTGTCCAGAGCACATCTCATAATGGCCTACCCTCACATTCTTCCAGCAGCAACCAAACCATTCTACATGCTGTCGTTGAGCCCTACACACAAATTGATCCTTTGGATAGGGCCCAGGCTCTGAGAGCCAAGCACCAGCTGTCATGATGGTCCTGCCCACCCTGGCTGCACAGACAGCAGAGACCTCTCACCCTGCCAGAGAAGGGAGTAACACACCGCTGCGGGAGGCTGGCCACGCTATAGTGAACGCGAGGGAAACCTAGAGGAAAACAGAGAGAGCGTGACGAAGAGAAGACGCAGGCTAGAGGGACACAGACAGGACCCACAGAAACCTGAACGCGCACCCTCCCCACCCAGTGTCATCCCGGTACATGTGAGTGCCTATGTGACTACGTAAAGGAGTTTACCTAGTTCTTCCACTGAGGCCACGGCAGGGGCACACCGGGGGAGGCTGGCCACGCGATGGTGAACACGAAGGAACCTGCCGCAAGGAAAACAGAGCGAACAGAGGATGCGGGCTGGAGGGGCGGGCACTCCACCCAACCCAGCATCATGCGGGGAGGGCGGGGATCGGCCGAAGGGAAAGGGGCAAGGAACCGACCCTGCACGGGGAAAGGAGCAGGGGGAGGCACGCATCAGCAGCCAGTAGAACCGACTGTGGGAAAGAGGCTGTCAGATACTCAGACTCCTTCCTGGCCGCCATACCCGGGATATTGCTAGGATCATAACCAACGCGCTGTCCAGGCAAGATTGTACCGCCAAGACTGTTCTCAAGAGCCTAAGAATCCAAAGAATTCATGATTCCCAGAGTTGTGTGATTGTTCCGGGATTTGTGATCTGTCCTAATTATCCGATGTGTTGTAAATCCTAGCTTCTATGATGAAATGAGGCAGGATTCCAGGCAGTTATGTTAATGAGTCCAGAGGCAATCTACAGGGTTAGCTTGTATCTCCAGGCAATGTTTTTTGAGATAAAAAAGAGAGAAGCTAGCAGAGAGGAGAGGGACCTATGAGCACCAAGCCAGAAGAGGCAGAGGCAGAGCTTGCCCTTTGGACCTGGGGTCCCCGCCTTGAGAAGCTCCTAGACCAGAAGAAGAGTGATGACAAGGACCTTGCTCCAGAGCTGACAGAGAAAGCCTCCCCCGCGCCCCTCCCCTTTCCCTTTCCCCCAACCAGGGTTGGCGGCTTGAATGTAAACTCCTCCCTTCCTGGACTGTGAAAGAATCCATTTCCGTTTGTTAAAGCCCTGCACTTGTGTTAGTTCTGTTTAGAGCAGCGCTAGATAACTAAGGCACCTGGGAATTCCAGTCTCCTTCCCCAGCTCCCGCTGACCTGACAAGGTGCCGGAAATCCTTCCATTAGAAATGCATTCCTCTGACGTAACACGTTAATAGAATGACGGTTGCCAAATCCCCTGATAAAATCTCCACTTCCACTTAGGAGTCATCCCACCCTTCCACGGTTTCCTCCAAGGTCTTAGGTATTTAATGAAGGGCTCCAGTGGGAAGGTGTTTAAGAAATGGCCCTTGACACCCTCCTTTGCTCCACAAAGCATTCTGGGTGTCTCTGAGTCCTATGTTTCCAGGAACTGTTCACTTGGCTGCTAGTCTCCGTGCAATCCAGGTGACTGGCCAATATGGGTCTGACCAGCACTTCAAGTCATTCTCAGAAACCACAAGGCCGATGAAAGAGGTTGGTTTTGAAGCCGAGTCAAAGAGAGGTCCTGCAGGTGTCGTTTGAACAGAACCCCTACCCTGGTATCACTACCAGAGAAGAACTCGCCCCAAAAATTGGCATTCCGGAGGATCGCATTCAGATATGGTTTCAAAACTGCAGAGCAAGTCACCTGAAGAAGGGCTGCTCAGCCTCTGGACGTGCGTTTGAAGGAGAGCCATTCCAGGGTGAGGAACAGCCTCAGTCTTGGTCTCCGGAAAACTTCCCCAAAGCAGCCAGATGAAAGCGCACGTTCGTCACCAGATCTCAAAGGAGTCTCCTAGTTGAAGCCTTTGAGAAGTACCAATGCCCTGGTATCGAGGCCAGGGAAGAACTGGCTCAACGAACGGGCCTTCTGGAATCCCGAGTTCACATATGGTTTCAGAACCGAAGGGCTCGGAAACCAGTGCAGAGCACAAGTGCACCACCAGTGAAGTTCTTGGCAGACAGCCCAACGCGTGGGACGCTTCCACTTGACCAAAGCAACCTGTCCTGTGTCCACAGCATGTCTCATCATGGCCTACCCTCCCATCCTTCCAGCAGCAACCAAGCCATCCTACCTCTTCTCCTGGAGTCCCATACACCCTTTGTTCCTTCACATGCCGCCCAGGGCTGTGTCAGCCAAGCACCAGGTGTCATGACGGTCCAGCCCACCCTGGCCATGCAGACAGCAGAGACCTCTCACGCCCCGGGGACAGGCCTGAATCACTTGCCAACAGAACCGACTGTGGGAAAGAGGCTATCAGATACTCAGACTCCGTCCTGGCCCCAGTACCCAGGACATGGCCAGGATCCTAACCAACACACTGTCTCGGCAAGATTGCGCAGCCAAGACTCTCCTCAGCCAGAGAATCTAAAGAAGCAGGGGCAGGCTCTGGCTCAGCAAGGCCCAGCTCCCTTCATGCAATGGGGCTGTGAGGTGGCCCAGGGTGTGATGGCCAGATGGGAACCTACCCAAGAGACACTTCAGCAGCCTGGACACCCCGAGACACAACTGTGGCAAGAGCCGGCATTATCAGTTCAAGGCTCATCTCCTCCACTGGACCAAGACTGCTAGAAACCAGGAGCCTTTTAGATGAACTCCTCTCCACTACAGACTTTCAGGAAAAGGCCCAAGCCTTTCTGAATGTGGATCCACGGGGGGAGGACCCTCTGCAACTCGAACTCGCCCTTGGCGACATTGACTTTCAGGCTCTGCTGGTCATGCTACAAGACTCACCAGGGCTTCAGATTTAGAAGTGGGGCGCCCAAACCCACATTCAGGCATCCTGTGCCTTGTGGAGGCATCAGAATGATTTAAAGAGATGCTGAACAACCAACACGTGGCATTCAGAGCAAAACCAAGGCAGGAAGAAGGATAAGACTCTGGGAAACTTCCATCTAGCACATTGTCACAGCGCTGACGGTGAGCAAAACCAATGCAGGAAGAAGGATAAGACTCTGGGAAACTTCCATCCAGCACATTGTCACAGCACTGACGGTGTGTCGTCAAGTCATTGGGTGCCCGATCCTTTGGCGGCTCCGTCTTGCCCCTGGAGGCACCACGGACACCAGGCACAAAGGATTATGAAATAACGAGTAGGTGTCTCTCCAGAACCTCAGCTCCATTCCTAGAAGCCCCAATCTCCTACCCCATCTGACACCTCTCTGCACTCCCCCCCCCTTTCCAAATAGGAATGCGCTCCCACTGCCCGCCCTTCTTCCTCCTGCCTGTTTCCTCCTTTGCTGGCATCTAGGCGTTGGGTCCTGGCACGCCACCTCTGGCTGTCTGACCCTTTCCGTGTCCTCATTGCTCACCAGCCACGTGTGAAAGTGCCGATTTGCCCACAGCGTCGCCAGCTTAGTGTGTTATGGAATCTTGTGAGCTTTGACAGCCGCTAGGTTTTTTAAAGGAACAAAGGAGTTAAAGGAAGGAGTGAGCCAGAAAAAGCAAGTGAAGGAAAGAAAGAATGTGACACACGAGACTGATTTGCTTGGGTCCGTCCGGGCTCCTGAGCGTGCGTTTTCACGACACGGGGCATCTTGGCTTCAAGATCAGATCACTCCGGAGTTCAGAGGCCCTATGCCCTCCGGGTCCTTCAAAAACGGGCAAACAGAGAGGGGCGGAGAGCGGCGGGGTCACCAGGAATTAGGTGGCCAGAGAGCAGCTAATGGAGAGCAGCAGGGGGCGGGGGCGGGGGCAGGGAGGGAGAAGACTTCGCACAGGATAAGTGTGTTCAAGAGCAAATCAGGGAGAGCTAAAGGAGGCGAGAAGGTTCGCGTGATGCCATGGCCCTCGGCAGAGGCTTGGCTCGCCAGATCAAGAAGGATTCCGGAAGCGCGAGGCTGGAACACGCAGCCGGGAGTCCCCAGCGCGTGAGGGTACCCGGCCCTGCTCTCCAGGAGAGGCCGCGCCGTCTGGCGGCCACGGGCTAGCAACACGCTGGACCTTGAGCCCGAGCTGCTGCTAATGGAGGGGCAGTGAGGTGAGTCCGGGAATGAGTCTGCGACAACCTCAACGAATAGAGAGCCAATGTATCCCCGTTATACGTGCGCCACTACGTGACTAGGTAAAGGGGTTTACCTGGTTCTTCCAGTGACGTCACGGGTTGGGGGGTAGGGGTGATGTGGCCACACCAGGGGACACTGTCAGAGGGGCACACCGTAACGACTGTTCAG